CTTGTCCCCAGTCCCTCTCCAGCTCTCCTGGAGTCCCTTTAGGCCCTGCAAGGGGCTCTCAGGTCTCCCTGGAGCCTTCTCTTCTCCAGGTGAACCCCCCCAGCTCTCCCAGCCTGGCTCCAGAGCAGAGGGGCTCCAGCCCTGGGAGGAGGGGGGTCCAGCCCTCCATCTCCATGGCCTCCTCTGGAATTGTTCCAGCAGCTCCAGACCAATCTGATGCCGGTCCACGGGGCCGGAGACAGCTCTGCAGGTGAGAGCTCCGCTCTCACTGGGCGGAGCAGAAGGGTTTTCCACCAGTTTTCCTTTCCCTTTGCCCTCAGGAGACAATTCCAGGAGTCCCGGGTGTCCCACTGGCGGCTGCAGGTTGACCTGATGCCTGCGCCTTGGCCACGCCCCCACACTACCATTGGCTCGATGAGCTCTGTGTGGTCCCGCCCCCGCATTCCCATTGGTGGAGGCCGCCCGGGGGGCGTGTCCCTCCCCGCCCTATGTAAGCGGGGTGCGGGGGTCGCTGCGCAGCCCGGGGGTGTCCGGGGGGGGTTTTGGGGGGTTTTTAGGGGTCTCCAGGGGTCTCCGCACCGCCCACCCCCGCCGCGATGCTCGTGGCCGGCTCGCCGTGTCCCCTGCAGGAGCATCGGGTCCGCGGGACCAGGCGGGGCGGGCAGGTAAGGAAGAGCTCCCGGGGGGATACACGGGGGGGGCATCCCACCCGGGAAGGGCTGGGGGTGTCCCCCTGAGCATCGCTGCTGTCCCCCGTCCATGCCCGGGGACACCTCCCACCCCCGGCCGGCTGCAGGGAGGGGACAAGCCGGGACACGTCGAGGGACCGGCCGGGATGCGGGAGGCTGGAAATGGTGGGGGGTGGGGGGTGCTGGGAGCACCCTCAGACTCCTGGGGGAGCACTGGAGGGCTGGGCAGGGAAGTTTTGGTGTCGCCGATCCCTCCGGCAGCTGGGATGTGTGTGGGAGCAGGGCAGAGCCGGGGACAAAGGGAAACTGAGGCCGGGGGGTGATGGGACGTGCCCGCCGGGGTGAGTGGTGGGGGGCTGGCAGGAGGATGGGGGGGTCTGGGCGTTCTGTCCCGTTGTTTGGCTCGTGCTGCTGTTCCCAGGCCGGTTATGGGATCTCTGACGTCCCTCTTAACCCAAACATTCTGGAAGTGTCTGGCATGGCCCAGGGCTTGTGCACTTGGAGACCGGTGTGGAAAACTGGGGTGTCGGTGGAGCCTTGCATGATCCCCCTGACCCTCCCAGGCAGCCAGAGCGGTCTGCAGTGTCAGTCCAACAACATCCTGAGTGTCCTGAAAAGTTGGGAATTGCCTCTATGTGCAAGAGTTATTTTCCCCTCTCCAAAAAAAACACCCCACACTTTTTTCCCTGTTGCTCCTGCATTCCCCCTTCCCCCAGGTTTCCCCAGGGACAGCGGGATTGCTCTGCAGCTCGGGAGGGAGTTGGTGGCCCCCCAGCCATGTCACTGCAGGATGGAGGCTGGAAATGCCGGGATAGTGGGTGGGAGAAACCCCAGGGAACAGGGAACAAACAGCAGGGGGGTCACTCCAGCACTTGTCCTGACACGAGCCAAAGCCTGAAATCTGGAGCAGGCAGGGGTGAGGCTGGGGGTGTCAGGGATGCCCCAAACCTTGGCCAGCAACGCCTGGCAGGTACCACCGAAATTCCATGGATCTGGGGCGTTCCCACTGCCCGTGAAGGTGCCTCTGTTGCGCTCCTGTGATGGTGTTTGTTTAACCTCGGCTGATCAGGGGTGGTTTCCCCACACCTGGCACCAGCCTGGGGAGAGGGGATTGGTGCTCAGCACAGCCATCTTCCCCCTCCTAGGGGATTATCTCCTTCCCCTGGAAGACCCTCTGCCTGCCCTGTGCCAGCCTGGGAGCAGGCTGTGTGCCCTGGGCAGGGCACAGCACCCCGAGCCTCAGTTCCCCTTCAGTTTGACGGGATATCAGGAAAAAAAACAGCCTGTGGTTGTACCAGGGGAGGTCGGGATTGGATATCAGGAAGAATTCTTCATGGAAAGCGTTGTCCAGCCCTGGCACAGCTGCCCAGGGAAGAGGTGGGATCACTTCCCACCGCAGATGTGTGGATGTGGCACTTTGGGGACATGGGTTATCGGTGGCCTTGGCAGTGCTGGGTTGGATCTTAGGGGGCTTCTCCAACCTGAACCATTCCATGGTGTGATTCCCCACCAGTGGAAGCAGGAGGAGATCCCTTATCCAGAGGCGGCACGGGGAGGGTTAAACCACAGCACCCCCCGGGATTGCTTAATGCAGCAAAACACGAGGAGCCTCTGCGGGGGATGATTAAAAACACCTTCAAAGGTCACCCTGAGCTGTCACCGAAAAGCCTCGGGCTGGTTCCGGGCTCCTCGGCTCCTCCCTGCCGTCGGGGTTGGAATTCCAGCCGGCTTGGAATGCTGCTGTCTGCCCCGTGGGTTTGCCGTGCCGGGATCTCGCTGTTGCTTGTCCCTTCCCAGGGACGCTCTCGGAGCTTTTGGAGCAGCTCCTGTCCCCAAGCGCTGAGTCAGCACGGAGCCAGCTCAGCGCCCGGAGCAGCAGGTTCCTGCCGTGCCCCTGGAGCGCTTCCGCGGTGACTCGGGCCGGGAGCATCCCATGGGAGCCGTTGGATGTGGGCGCTCCAGGGCTTTGCCCTGCCCGTATCCCGGGGCCGTGTCCCGCTGCCCGGCTCGTGGGCAGCACGTGGCCGCGGTGACAGCTGCTGCCTTGTCACCTCCTGCCATCCCACCCCCTTCCCTGCTCGGGAGAGGGTGCCAGGCTGCACCCCCCACCTCCTGAGGGATTTGGGTCGTGCCTTGGAGCCCCTCCCTGTGGGGTGCTTGGCCAGTTCACCCAGACTGGGTGCTGTGGGAGCCCGGCTGCCCCTTTGCAGCCCTCAGGGGTGTTGGGGCAGCACCCCCCTCGCCCTGCTGGGGATGATGGTTTATTTTTGGGTCCTGGGGGCTGGCAGGGATCCAGGAGTGTGCTGGTTTTGGCTGGGATAGGGTTCATTTTCCTTTTCGGTGGCTTTGGCTGGGGTTCCCTGGGTGTCCCCAGGGTGGCACAGTGGGGTGAGCAGTGGTCACTGCCTGCCCTATGCGAGTCTCCCTGAACCCAGAGCAGGGAGCAGGCACTGGATGAAGTGTCCCTCGGGATGGGCTGAGGGAGCTTTGTGTCCCACACCTCGGGCACAGCTGCTGCCTCCAGTTCTCCGTGGCACTGCTCCTCCCTGGATGGGCTGGGAGGACCATGGGATGGAGCAGGGTGGTCCTGGGCATCCCAGGGTGAGGTGAGACCCTGGGTGGGCAGATCCAGCCCCTGGGTTGGTGCTGGGATCCCATTCAAACATCCCCTGGAGGTGCTTGGGAGTGGGTCACACCCAGGTCCTGCTGCTGGAGGGGCCTGGTGGATTTCTGCAGGGAAGGGGAAGAGGAGGGTGGTTTTTCACCAGCTGGAGAGGATTCCTGAGCACCTCCTCCGTGGCAGGACCTGTATCCAGAGGGTGGGCTGGAGGAAGCTGCTGAGTGTCCCTCCTGCTGCTGCTGCTTCCATCTCTCTGTCCTGGTTTCACACAAGTGCCATGTCCCCACTGTATTTGGGGGGATGCTGCCCCAGCCCCCTTCCCTCTTTCCCAGAGCTGAGAGCACTTGAGCCCTTCTCCATCCTCATTTCTGGGTCCCCTGTAGGTGTTTAGTGGGCTTATTTTGGCTCTTGGGGGTGGGTGCTGCACCCTCCACCTGCTCTGGGCACCTCTGGGTGCTGCTGCGATGCAGGCAGAGCAGAGTCCCCAAATTTGGACCCTGGTGGGATGTTGTGGTGCAGAAGTGGGATGCCTCCTGACCCAGGGGGCAAAGGGTCTCTCCTGTGCCCCCTGACTGGGGACAGCCAGCACCCACCTGCCGGCAGAGAGGAGGGAAGTTGGGTGTTTGGAGAAAACATGGCATGGAAAACTTGCTTTTCCCTTGGGAGATGGTGGGAGGATTGAGCAGGAGAGGGGGGCAGAGAAGATCTAAACCCTGTGGTTGGAGCGTGGAAAGCCCCCTGTAAGGGGCAGGGCTCGTTTATGGGTTACATTTGTTGCTGGATTTGGGGAGGGGTGGAGAAGCTGGTGATGTTCAGGGATATTTTGTGCTGGGGTGGGGTCAGAGTGACCGTGGCCGTGCTGGGCGTTGCCCCCCCAGTGCCTGGTGCTGCTCCCGCCCCCCCCCTCCGCCGCCCTGCGGGACCCTCGCTCCCTGTTTTTCCCTGTTTTTCCCTGTTTTCCCAAGGAGGGGGCGGTGCCACCGCCGGCCTGCCCCGTGTCCCGGTGTGTCGCACGCAGCTCCGGCAGCGGAGCAACATCCCCGCCGGGTTTCATCAGGCTCTGCCCGCCTGACGTAAGGGCTGTGGGGGCGAGGGCCGGTGCCCCGGCGGGGTGGCTGCCTGAGTCACCCCTTCCGGTGACACCAGCGGGGACACTCGGCGGCTCCGCTGACTCCCGGCTGCTCCTTCCTCCCTAGGACACAGGGATCAAGGTCCCCCGGGAGCTGGCCAAGGGCCCCAGCGCCTTCATCCCCCTGGCCGAGGTAAGAGCTGTGGGGCTGGGCTGGGGTAGAGTGGGGGTTCCGTCCCCCCCTCCCTGCCCTGGGTGGGTGATCAGCGGGGATTCCCACGCCCCACCCCAATTCCTGGTGCCTGGTGGGGTGCTGGGGAAGGGTCAGCCAGCCCAGGGGGCTCGTTTGGGGGGGATTGGTGGTGTCACCCGGGTGTTTTCCTGGCCTGCCCGTGCCTCAGTTTCCCCGCTCATCCAGACACAACTGTCCTTCCCCTGCCCTGCAAAGGCCCTGCCCACCCCTGCCCTGCCCCTCCCCCCCCCAAAAAAACTCTGTCCCCAAATCCCCGGGGCACCCTCAGCCCTATCTCTGCTCCCACGAGGGTGTCCCAGATGGTCCCTCCCCAGGCAGAGATATCACCGTGGTGTCATCACCGCGCTGGGGAGGGGCTGAGCCCCATCTCCTGCCCTGCTCTGCCCAAATAAACAACCCAACCCACGGGCTGAGCCACACGGGATCCAGCATGGACACCCCTGGACACCCCCAGCCCCCTGGGAACGGGAATGGGAAGGGCGAGGCGGGCGCCGGGAGCCACCGGCGGTGCCCGTTCCGGAGGCAGGGAGCTCCCAGCGGGGTGAGGATCTGCTGCAAGGGGATGGGTGCTGCTTGCTGGGGTTTGGGTGGGGGTGGAAGGAGCGAGGGGCTGCATCTCACAGCCCTTCCCTGCTCTCTGCATCCCGCAGATCCCGTGGGAAGGAGCGGGGAGCGACCTGCGCCAGCTCCTCATCGAGGCCTTCGTGTCGGCGGGGAGGGTGGACCACGTGGCCATGGTCATGGGGCTGCACCCCCAGTACCTCAGCAGCTTCTGGAAGACCCAGTACCTCCTGCTGCGCATGGATGGGCCCCTACCCTACCACAAGCGCCACTACATCGCCATCATGGTGAGGAGGGGGGGGCTGGGGGTCACAGGGAGCTCTGGGGGTCCCAGCGCTGCTGCTCGGGAGGCAGGAAGGGATTTGGGATCCCAAAGATGAGCCCCTCTCTGATCTGAGGTCCCAGGGGGTTAAGGTGGGGTCCCAGCACTGCTGCAGGAAGGGATTTAGGACCCTACAGTTGGGCCCCCTCTGATCTGGGGTGTCCCAAAGGTTTATGAACCCCTTTGGAGTTGGTGCCCCCTGGGGACTGACATAGATGGAGGGGGTCAGACCTCCCTGTGTGGATTCATATCCCCAGGGAAAACCCTCCAGGACTGATGTGGGGGTGGGAATTGTCTCTCTGCTTGGCTTCTCCGAGGGTTTGTATCAGGGCTGGGGGGCCCTGGCCGGTTTTAGGGGCTGACTCCCGGCTCTCCCGCAGGCAGCAGCCCGGCACCAGTGCTCCTACCTGGTGGGACTGCACATGGGGGAGTTCCTACAGGTGGGGGGCAACCCTGCCTGGCTGCAGGGCCTGCACTGTGCCCCCCAAAAGCTCCGCAACCTCAACGAGATCAACAAGCTGCTGGCGCACCGGCCCTGGCTCGTCACCAAGGAGCACATCGAGGTGAGTGCTGGTGCTGCCAGCACAGATCACCCCCAAAACACGCTGTCTGGGGGATGCTTGACCCTGGGGGTCACAGCCCTGCTTGCACCCACCCCCAGGTTTAACCCCTTGGGGGCTGAGTGACCCCCATGGGTCTGTGGGGGGGGCACATCCCAAACTCGCTCCCGTGTCCCTGCCCTGGGCTGGGCTGGGGGGGCTCAGTGGGGAAGCTGGGGGGTCTCTCTAACCCTTCTGTGCCTTGCAGGCTCTGCTGAAGCCGGGGGAGGACAGCTGGTCGCTGGCAGAGCTGGTGCAGGCCCTGGTGCTCCTCACCCACTACCACTCGCTCGCCTCCTTCGTCTTCGGCTGCGGCATCAAACCCGAGGAGGAGCAGGATGGGGGGAATGGCTGCTGGGCCCCCTCCCCCCACAGTGACAGCAACCCTGCCTCTGAGGACAGCGTGGGGGGCTCTGGGGTAAGGGGGGAGCTTTGCCTTGCAGGGGTGGGAGGGCGTGGTGGGGAGCTGGGTGCTTTATGGGGCTTCTCCTGGGAATCCCAGGATGGTTTGGGTTGGGAGAGACCTTAAAGCTCATCTTGTTGATGGGCAGGGACACCTTCCACTAGCCCAGGTTGCCCCAGCCAGGCCTTGGACACTTCCAGGGATCCAGGGGCAGCCACAGCTTCTCTGGGCAAACCTGTGCCAGGGCCTCCCCACCCTCACAGGGAACAATTTCTTCCCAATATCTCATCTATCCCTGCCCTCTGGCAGTAGGAAGCCATTTCCCCTTGTCCTATCCCTCCATCCCTTGTCCCTAGTCCCTCTCCAGCTCTCCTGGGGATGGAGCGTGGGAGCTGCTTGAGGTCTGGCCAGGACAAACCCAGAGGCAAATGCTCTTTGCAGCAGCCCTGAGGCTGCTCCAAGTGCCAGCAGAGCTGGTTTTGGGGGCCCCTGTGCTCGAGTAGGGGCAGGGTTAACCCTGCCCTGTGCTCCCCCCAGGGCAAGGATGCCATGCAGGAGGTGGAGATGCTGATGGAGAGGATGAAGCTGCTGCAGGAAAACCAGCTGGAGGAGGAGGGCGTCACCCAGGAGGAGATGGAGACGCGCTTCGAGCTGGAAAAGACGGAGAGTTTGCTGGTCCCTCCCTCAGGTGAGGAGGTGCAGGGGGGCACCTGGCTGGGGAGGGGGTCCCCGTGGGCCAGGGGGAGGGGAAAGAGCCAGAACCTGCCTGGGAGAGCAGGATCAGCCCCTCAGTGCAGGGGTCCCACCACCTCACTGCCTGGTGGTGCCTTGCAGATATTTTGGACCCCTCCCTGCAGTCCCACGTCCGCTGCTTCGTGGAGGACCCCGAGTTCGGCTACAAGGACTTCACACGGAGGGGGGAGCAGGCCCCCCCCACCTTCCATGCCCAGGTGGGTCCTCAGGGCAGAGGGAGGTGCTGGGGTGGGGCAGCTCCTGCTTGTCTTGGCGTGGGGGGACAGTGGGGAGGTTCCTGATGTGGTGGGAGCAGCTGGGTGGGTGAAGGGCTCGGAGCTGAGCGAGATGCTGAGAGCTGTGGGGCCAACTTAGAGGCTGAGAGACCCTAGAAAAGCCCACTGTCCCCGATCCCCCAGGATTACACGTGGGAGGACCACGGCTTCTCGCTGATCAACCGCCTGTACCCGGACGTGGGGCAGCTGCTGGACGAGAAGTTCCAGGTGGTTTACAACCTGACCTACAACACCATCGCCATGCACTGCGGGGTGGACACCTCCATGCTCCGCAGGGCCATCTGGAACTACGTCCACTGCGTCTTCGGCATCCGGTAGGTCCCCAAAACCTGGCCTGGAGATTGTTCTCCATCTTGGGAAGAGCCTGGGAGTGAGTCCAGTGACTGGGCCTTGGTCAAGATGTTGCCTGACTGAGGCCAAGTGATGTTGTTGTGGGGCTCAGCTGAGGTCCAGAAGGACCCTGGGGGGGTGACAGTTTAGGAAGAAATTTTTATTATAAGGGAGGTGCAAAATTCTCTGTGATGAGGGAAGTGAGGCCCTGGCACAGGTGGCCCAGAGAGGTGGTGGACTCTCCATCCCTGGTTGTGGACTCCTCATCTCTGGAAGTGTCCAAGGCCAGGTTGGACGGGGCTTGGAGCAACCTGGGCTAGTGGAAGGTGTCCCTGCCTGTGGGATGAGATGGGCTTTGAGATCCCTTCCAAGCCAAACTATTTTGGGATTCTGAGAGTGCACAGAAGTTGTGGCTGAAGGACACTCCCCTCCCCTCTCCCCTCAGCTACGACGACTACGACTACGGGGAGGTGAACCAGCTCCTGGAGCGCAACCTGAAGATCTACATCAAGACAGTGGCCTGTTACCCGGAGAAGACGACCAAGCAGATCTACACCCAGTTCTGGAGGCACTTCAAGCACTCAGAGAAGGTGCTGCCCGCTCCCTTCCCCTGCTGGCGGGGTGTTTGGGGGTGCTGATCCCACCCCCTGACCCCCCTCTCCTCTCCCCACAGGTGCACGTCAACCTGCTCCTGCTGGAGGCCCGCATGCAGGCGGCTCTGCTCTACGCCCTCCGCGCCGTCACCCGCTACATGACCTGACCCTGCTCTGCTCCCTCCTCCTCCTCCTGCCCTCACGGGCCCCACGGGTCAGGGGAGAGCCCAGGGGGGAGCTGCCACCCTGTTCCACTGAGCCTGCAATGTTATCTCCCCGCTGAAGGGAGCTGTGGAAGGAAAGTTGGGGCTTTCCCCGTTCGTTCTCCCTGGAAAAGGGGGATCCCCGAGGAGTGGTGGGAAGAGCCTGTTGTGCTGCCCTGGCAGAGCTGGGGGTGCCCTGCTGCTCTGTGCCTTTGTGGGGTGAGCCTGAAGGAAGCCAAACTTGGGTGTCTGTGGGTGCTGTGCTGGTGTCACACCCCTGTGCCACATCCTAGTGCCAGAGAGGACTGTCCCCTGCCAGAGAGGGCCAGGGGGCTTCGCTCCTGCTTTTGGGGGTCTCACTGTGCTGGCAGACGCAGCTGCTGGTGGTGAGGCAGCTGCCCTGGCACCCCCTGCCCACCTTTCTGCCTCCTCTGCCGTGATTTGGGATGTGAAGTGCCTTTAACCTGGGTGCCAGGGTAGGAGCAGGGTGAGGGCAGAGGTGCCCGTGGGGTGTTCTACACTTTTTTTTTGTTGTTTTTTTTGCACATCTCCACTGCCCGGGTTTGAGGGGCTGAGTTGGGGAGCTATGCTGGGACACGGAGCTCCCTCCTGCTGTGAGGGTGATGGAGTGGCCATGGCTTTATCCAGATGTGCCAGAGCATTCCCAGAGGCGCTGGTCGCCAGGGAGGTGTCTGTTTTGGGAAAGCCCCCCACTCCTGGCTCTGCTGGAGCAGGATCCAGGGCCAGCAGCACCACCACCCTTGGTTTGGCTGTTTAATTGTATCTCCAGTTAAGTTATTTCTATATTTTTTGGGTGTATTTACTTCTGACTGGGCACAGAAATGCCCCTGTGACTTTGCTACGGATCTTGTTCAAAAAAATAAAGTTGTTGTTTTTTATTTCCCTTTCCCCTTGCTCAGCCCAGGGGCTGATCCTCTATGGGGATGGGGGGGTAGTGGGACGGGTCCTGCTGCTCTGGAAGTGTTTGGGAGCATCCCTGGGTTGTCCAGGGGGGAAGATGGGAGGTCTGAGCACTCCCTATTGGCCTGAGGGTGTTCCCTGGGATGTGTGATCCTGCTGCTGGGATGGTGCTGGGGGGGTGGAGCAGCTCTGGGGACACCCCAACCCCGAGCTGTGCAGCCCAGCGTTTATCAGGGCATGGGCAGCAGCCCCTGGAAGCTGCTGATAAGATCCCTGAGGAGGGGCCAGCCCTGCAGGCCGAGGTGCATCCTGGTGTTCCTGAGGAGCTGGATCCTGGCTGTGGATCCAGAGCCCCTCTGGAGCCATCTCTGAGCAGGGACAGTGGGGACAGCAGGGCTGGAAGGGGCTCACTGAGGGTTTTCTGGGGGCCAGGGTGACAGCCCTCTGTCACATAACCTTGGGTTATCCCCCAGAGACACTGGGAGTGGCAACCCTGAGCTTACTTTTTAAGGCACAATTTTTAGGGTGGTTTGAGAGTTTTTTTAGCACTGGTGGCTTTTCTGCCACATAGATGGGGGGGTCTGGCCATGGGGTCTCAGTGCCCTGGCACAGCTGGAGGATTTGCATGTTGGTTTTTCCCAAAGAAGTGAGGAAAAAAAATCGTCTTTCAGGGAGCTGAAACAGCTCAGAGGAGCAAAGACAAAGCTGTAGGAAAGGGTCAAGGCAACAGGGACATTCTGTCCAGGGAGGAATTTTCCTGCTGCCTGCTGGCTCTCTTTGAGGCATCCCAAATATTTTGTTCAAATGGAAGGGATCCTCGACTGAAGGTGCTGTTTGTGGTCACAAAGCCAGGCTGGGAAGGGCTGAGCTGTAAAAAGAAAAAAAAAAAAAAAAAGAGAGACCCCTCCCTTTTTTTTTTGCTGCACTTTCACCACAATGTGTCTGGTGAAATCAGTTTTTTCAGCTGGCCACAATTATAAACCAATAAATCCCTCACCCTGTGCATAACCAAGGCCTGCAATTTGTCTACACATATATATATATAATTTATCTGCAGCTTTCACTGTTGTCCTGCAGGGCAGAAGGTGTGTTAATAACCTCCCCACCTGTAGCTGATAGTTATAATCCCAATGGATGCAATTTTTTTTTTTCCACCACTGTTGCCCCCAATTTGAAAAATATGTGTTGGTGGTTTTCAACACGCAGGAAAGCCATAGGAAATAATAATAATAGTAATAATAATAATGATAATAATAATAATAATAATATGTGCTGAATGAGCACTTTAAGGCTGATGGAGCCCAAAATGCTTTGGAAAATGGGCATTATTGGGGCTGGGCTGCCCTCAGGGGTGCAGGGCTTTGTGTGGGGCTGGAGATGAGGAGGAATATCCGTGCCCTGAGTGCTGGCAGCTCGTGTCCCTGTGGATGCAAGTGAATACCTGGATCCACTGCACAGGCAGGAGACGGATAATCATAGAACCATGGAATGGTTCAGACTGGAAGGGACATTAAAGATCATCTCGTTCCAACCCTCTGCCGTGGAAGGGGATAAATCCAGGCTGGAAACAAAGCAGCTCCTCAGGGGCTGCCTCTGCAAAGCCTCTGCCATGGCCAGCCCAGGCTGCGATGGAGCTGAGCCCCAGTGCTCCCAGTGGAGCCCTGGAGCCACCCAGGAACCCCCGTGAGGCTTTCGGGTGGGTGGGAAGATGGTTTTGGGCAGTGGGTGGGAAAGGACCGGCCCCCATCAGTGGCTGAGCTCACGGGAACAGAATGTGTCCTGCCCGTGGAGCCCAAAATATCCCCTGGCACCCTCCGTGCCCGGTGCCAGCCCTTGCATAACCCATCCCTTGGTGGGCACCTCGGGGTCCCTGCAGTGCCAGGAGCCATCCTGGGGGGAATCTGGGAGCCAGGGACCCTCCACAAGCCCCTCCAAAACGAGCTCCATCCTCAGGGACACGGTGGGAAAGCTTAGCAGGGTGGGGGGTCCGTAAGCCCCGAGCCCTCAGCAGGTAAAAAGCTGCTTGCTTTGGATTTAAGGTGACGATTTAAGGGGCTGCCACGGTGTCCTCGAGTCCCTGCCCTCGCTGGGGATAAATCTGGCTTCTCCCGGGGGAACTGCGGGCTCTGGGCACCTCAAATGGCCGCTGGAGCGTTTTAGTCCTTGGGAAGCAGGCAGGGAAGGGCTGGGAGCAGCCGTCGGTCGGGATGTGTCCCCGAGCTGCTGTCACCGGCGTTCGGGGGGGTCACCCCGCACCCCCCGCTCTGCGACAGCACCCGGTGGGTGCGAGGGGGTCCCCAACCCACACCGGGGCGATGGAGGGGACAAACAGCCCGGATTTACAGCCCGAGCCACCCCCGGGGAGGCTGAACAGGGGCGGGCGTGTCCCCTCCCCGCCGGTTCCCGACTTTCCCGGCCCGGCAGCGCCGCTCGCTGGGGACCGGCAGGAGCTGCGGAGCGACCGCTGGAATCTGCCCCGCGTTCCTGCCGGGAACAGGGCACCCCCATCCCTGCTCCGAACGCTGGAACCACAGAATTCCAGGATGGGTTGGGTTGGAAGGGACCTTAAAGCCCATCTCGTTCCACGCCCTGCCCAGGCTTTGGGGGGTGTGTGGGGTCGTGTCAGCTGACTGCCCTCGGATCACCGGGGGTTTGGGGGTGACAGTTCCCTTGTCGGGGTGCGAAGGGTTAAATCCACCTCCCAGGTAAGCCAGGGAATCCTCACAGGCTTCCGTGGGTAAACCCCAACCCCAAAGCCCCATCCCCACCCTCTCAGCACCCCAAGCCCCCATGACTTCTATCACCCCCTGACCCCAAAGCCTCACTCCAAACCCTCCAGCATCTCCTACCCCGAACCCCCACAATCCCCCTCATCCCCAAACCCAAAGCCTCACCCCACACTCCTATCCCCCCTCACCCCAAAGCCCTACATCCCCCCTCACCCTCAACCCCAACCTCCCACAGCACCCCATCAACCCTTACCCCAAACCCCACAGCCCTCTTTACCCCGACCCCAAAGCCTCCCCCGAGCCCTCTCAGCACCGCATCACCCCCTACCGTCACCCCCTGACCCCAAACCCTCACCCCAAATCCCCCCATCACCCCCCACCCCAACTCCCCCCGGTTCCACGCCGAGGGGGCGTGTCCTCCCAAGGGGGCGTGTCCTCCCAAGGAATGGCGTGTTTATCATCCAGGGGGCGTGTCTTCCCACGGAGTGGGGCGTGTCCTTCCCCAAGAGGCGTGTCCTCCACGGAGAGGGCGTGTCCTCCCACCCGGGGGGCGTGTCCCGTCCCCGGACTACAGCTCCCGGCGTGCCCCGCGCGGGCCCCGTGGCGGTTTCCGGCGGGTCGGCCCGGTGGCGGTGGCGGTGCGGTGGCGGCAGGTGAGGGCGGGCGGGGACCGGGGGGGCTCTGGCGACCCCCGGGTCGACCCTGCAGAGCTCCCCCTTACCCCGGCACGGCGCGGAGGGAGGCGAGAAGGGCCTGCGTGGGGTGCGGGAGCGCGGGAGGGTGGAGGTTCTCATTGAAGGGAACCCCGGGGCGCACGGGGGTTCGAACCGCGCGGGTTTGAAGGCGCCAAACCCACCCCCCGAACCGGCCCTAAACTGGCCCTGAGCCTGCTCTGGGCCCCGCCAGCGGAGTTTCGGTCCCCGTGCGCCGCTGTGACAACCGGCGAGCCCTCCCGGAGGTGTGGGCTGGGACCCCGCTGACACCCGCGGGGCTCATCCCTCGCTGTGTCCCCCCTATCCCCCACGTTCTCTCTCGGGCAGCCCCGCTGGCATTTCTTTGTTTGATCTTCCCCCCCCCTACACCACCCCGTCTGAATGTTGACTGAAATTCGAACCGTCCCCGCTGTGCTTTCTGCCGTAATTGTTCTTTCCCTCTGTTTGCACGCAGATGAATTATTTACCTCCGTGCCTCGCGGTGGGGTTGTGTTTGCCCAGGTGGAGGTAGGTGAGGGCTCGCTGCCCCTCTCTGGGGCTGAGGCACTGGAAAAAGGGGTGAATAACGTGAAAAGGTGCTTCGCCGGGGCTGGAATGAGCGATAAAGCTCCAGTTCTCAAACTTTAGGATGTGTAAATGTTGCTTCCACAAGCCCGGAAAGGGGAGTAGGAGTCACAGCATCATGGGATGGTTTGGGTTGGAAGGGACTTTAAAGATTATCTAATTCCATCCCACTGCCATGGGCAGGGACACCTCCTGCTATCCCAGGTTGAGCCAACCTGGCCTTGGACACTTCCAGGGATGGGACAGCCACAGCCCATCCATTCCACCCCCTCCCCACCCTCACAGGGAGGAATTTCTTCCCAATATCCCATCTAAATCTCTCCTCTTTAGTTTAAAACCGTCCCTCCCCTTGTCCTATCTCTTTCTGCTTGTGCAAAAAGTCACTCTCTCTCTTTTTTTTACACTCCTTGAAGTGCTGCAGTGAGATCTCCCGGGAGCCTTCTCCTCTCCTTGTAATTGCTAAAAGAAACCTGGAATTGTGCCGGGGTGAGTGTTGAACTTGAAGCTTGCCTTTGGAAAAGAGGGACATCAGCAAATCCTGGGCAGAGTCAGGGAAGGTGGGGGGGATGAAGTTTTCTGTGCTCAGAAGGATGTTCAGCTGAGTTAGTTTGTCTGTAGAAGTTGCAAGGGAGTGTAAATTAGATTCCTCTGCCTGCTGTGATTTCCTCAGAAATGCCTGTTGCTCTTCAGTCAAACCTAAATGCATGCAAATTGCTTTTTAAGAATAGACAACACTTAAAATTGTAAATTTATGTGGTTTAAATTCCTTTTTGAGGAGAGTGCAGGAAAAAAAGGGGTAATAAAGCCAAAATGAGGCCACTTGAGAGGGACCTGGTTGGCACAGTTACACCAGCTAAAGCTGATACTTTGGGCAGAGATGGCAACAAACCCCTTTCCCATTCACAGTAGGTTTAAACTCGTTCTTCCCAACAATGCTGGAAATGACTGTGCTGTTCTGTCCTAAATTAGGGTGGT